TAACTCATTATTTTTTAATTCTCTCTCACTGCTTAGGTGTAGCATAGACCACAGTCATGGGGGTGAACAGAAAAAGGAAAATATTAAATGTAAAGTCACATTTTGTAGATACATAAATGATCTGACTCAACCCTTAAAGGACAGGCTTATAAACCTTCAAGTATTTATTTGACTGAATATTCATGAGTTCCTTGCAAGGAAATATAGAATATTTAACCATTGTGCTTCATCCGGAATTGAAATCTTTCAAGCAAGGTTCTCTTCCAACACTCTGGAACAGAACATCCTAGAACATCCTATCCTTGTTTTACCAAAATTCAAATGCAAACCAATTCTATACGGTTGTACTGTGTGATTTCCCTATACCACAGTCTCCTGGAGAGAGAAGACAGAAAGCAACCAGACATACAGCCACTAGCCTCTGGGATCTCAGTTGAGGCAAGTTGCTGAAGGGGAAATGTTGGGTCAGGGCTGCTGTGCATACCTAGCAGGTTGTGCAAGGCACAAAGATACATCTGAGGCAGCACAGCCTACATCTCAGATCTTGTCAGTTTGTATATTTCTCAGGACAACCTTCTGACAGATGGCACCAGAGGGTCCTGCACTAATAAAATCATTGTATTACAATAATTTGCAGACAAACAGAAATAACGTATCATGCGAAAGGCAGCCTTTTTCTAATTCACAAAAAAGCATCACATAGACACGAGGAGGGCCCACATAGGTTGCTTAAAAGGTTTACGTGGGACAGGAAGGAGTAGAAAAATTTGTAAAATTTTATTACAAATTCCACAGAGTATCCAACTTACTCTTAACTACATTTCTGGTATAATAATGAGTTTCTCAGAAAGCACATTCTCAAACTGCAGTTAGACCTAAGAGAAATCTGCTCTTCAGCCCCTCCAAAGTTAATGAACAAGTGAACAAAAGTGCTATGGAGCCAGAGCAAGAAGACAGAAAGCTGCACACATATCTTTTGTGTAGATTGCTGTACTTTTCCTCTGACAAACTTCCATGTCTGTGTTTTAAAAGTATTTCATCTTGGTGGGTTATTTGGAAATTCTGATTTTTTTCAACATGTTTTGGTAGGGAATGTGTGGAGGAGTCAAGGGGTAACTGCTGCTTAGTGGCTGAACAAAGGAGCTGTGAGGATCCTACTTTTCGGCTCCCTGAAAATTAACCACCTCACGGCAAGAATAGAAAGCATTTCTTGAATTGGTTCATCCATTTTAAAGAATTTAAGCACCAGCCATCTTTTGGGGCATGGGAGTAAACTCTTCAATAAGAATAATGTACACTGTTTCTATGCAATAATAATAAATCACAGTGACAACGGCTAGAGTGGTTACTGTGTCAAACGCCATGCTGTGTGTCCAGCACTGTTCTTAGGTATTCCTGTTTGCTCTGTTCTTCCCAGGACAACTTCTGGGTAAGAACTATTTTTATCCCCACGTTGCAGATTAGGGATCTGGGCATAAACCCATTTAAACAACTTGCCTGAGGTCACAGTTTTCCAGTGCCAGAACTGAGATTTGAACCCTGGCAGTGTGGGCCTAGAGCTTTCGCTGTAACCTTTCTACTACCCCATATAATTGGGATGGTATCCAGCCTAGGATCTAGATGAAATTTCTTAATTAATGGAAACAAACACAAGTCAACATTTAGAATTAACCACACTGCCAGTATCACTACCATATTAGTCAGAATTAGCTTTTGGACCTATTCCTCAGTGAGAAAGACCTTCAGTGAGAGAAGTAGGGTAAAAGTACAAGGTGACACAGGATACAAGGGCTCTGACATGCTCTCTCCAAAAGCTGGACCCAGGCCTGGGCATTCAGATTCACCTATGCACCAAGCATTCCCCACCATCCTATCATCATATCCTAGGGTGAGTTTTCTATCGTGTCTGTGTTTCTAAGATGCTTGTAAACATTGTCTTAAGAATTCCCTAGAGGGTTTTCTGCAGAACTGTTGTCCCTTGAGATGCTTTATATAAAAACACTTTGTAGTCAGTAGGTTTAGGAAACCTGGCCTACTACATTTGCCTCTGGAAGATTAACAGTGTGCAGTGTGCCCAGGCCAGGGCCCCGGGAAGTCCTACACTAATGACACCTATGTAACATTTTAAATCCAAGAGTTCAGAAACTTGTTTGATTAGAGATTATTCTTAGAACACCTTTGAAACCACCAGTAAAACCAGCATTTGAGAAACCCTGCATCTAGGTGAGCATGTCAGTGAGCAGCAGCAGGACACAGAGAGATAGGCAAACAAAGGATAGACAGGAAGATGGTTCGAGGCAGGAGTGTGCGTAGAGTGTAAACTGAGATATCCATAATACTTGCCATAGAGTTTCTTATATACCAGTTCTAAAAAAAATCTCTTCAATTGAGGTTACAAAGGAAGAAGGAATTTTGATTATTTAAGACAAAACAGAACAGGTCTGACATATTAGCAGTCATGGTAGTGGGGCTATAACACATGAGCACCCACACAGTATCTCCTTACTTTCAGAAAGGGAAAAAGGTACACAGTGTGTTGGTATAAACCAGACCACCTCAGAGAGGGGGGAAGATGGAAGAAAGCACCCTTCATTTGGACTTAAGAGCTCCAACTTTTTAAAAAACTGTTAGGGATTTTAATTTTTCTTTATCTCTCTTTTTTAATTTTGAAAGCAGCAAAAGACAGATGAAAAATCAGAGAAAAATATGCAATCTCCCACACACTGCAACACACATTATCTTTTTTTTTTAATTCAAAGGGAGGTTTGATTTCTTTCTTGAGGCTCCCAATTAATAATAGGAGGGAAAATGTTCTAGCATAGAAACTGGTGGGCACTCTTCTGCCTTATGATAAAGCTGTTTTAAAAATACTTTCTATTTTGCTTCAAGTTGTCTAGAGTTTCTAGAATCGTTACAAAGAATCTCAGGGTGACAGGGGTTTGTTTTGGGGAAAACCCTCAATCACCAGTGGTCCTGTACCCACCACACTTTGCAGTAACCTATGCAACATTTTAGGTACATTCAGCTCAGGAGTGCTGTGGGAATATTATTTATAAGCATATATTTCTGTTTGCAAAGGTTGTAAAGTAGGAAACAGTTTGCACTTGAGGCTATAAGTTTACTTCTTGGAATCACTTTAAATGGGCAGAGAGGGAGGCTGCTAAAAATGTTCTGAAGTTGAAACATTAATTGGGGCAAAGAGCACACAAAGAAAAATGACCTACAGCATTAAGAAAGGCCCATCTGTCAAGGCAGGGGGCTCAGAATTCGAAGGTGGGTGGACTGGTCCCACAGGGCACTTGGGAGGACAGGATTCTGTCTGAGGGCAAGGTGGGAAAGCTTAAGTCCCCCATTATTAATGAGTGCTTCAGGAAAGTCATGCTAAGATGAGCAGCTTCACAGTCAGCTGCGCTGAAGGGCCAGAGGGAACCGCGGCTGCCCTTCATCTCTGGCAGCTCTCAAATTCTCATGTCAGGTCCCATGGGGGCCTGGCTGTACTTCATTTCTGTGAAAGCTCTGATCTTTACGATAAATTCAGCCATTAACCCCCTTTCTTTGAGCTAGAGTTGCTCTCTTTTTCTTGTTCCCCCCCAAAAAAGGTTTCCCAGGACTGGGTGACTCAAGATAAACGGAGAATTTCAGTGTGATGTGGGGCACTCAACCTTCCCAGGGACTGTTCAATAGGCCTGCACACTTTTTCCTTTGACTATTTCATGAAAACTGAGCATAAAATAGAGTAAGAAATAGAACTAAAGATCAGCTCTAAATATACAGTCATTATGAAGAAAAATACAATATTTTCAGAACAACTGGGGCCTACAGAGATCCCAACTTGACAATCTAACTGAATCTTTTATCTGTTCAGATTTTGAGAGAAAAAAAATCCAGAATGTCCATATATGTGGTATGTATAGTAAATACAAGATAAGATATACTCAAATTGCTTATTTTATTAGAATGTTAAAAATGGTAAATGATTACACTAATTGTGTGCCTACTCAGGGTAGTAACAGCCTGGTGATTTTAATGGACAATTTTTAAGAAAGCTAAAAAAGTGTTCTTTGCTAAATATTCTAGTATCATACATCATAAAAGTATTTTAAATAAAATATTTTAAATGATTAAGATGGGGAAACTACTTTCAAAATAAAATGAAAATTTCTTTGAATATATATTATTTTAGTTTAAACTATTTTTTTAGAACATCATACAATATTTTAGGAGAAATATTAAAATTGGAATATGTGAGCACGTTATGCTTGATCTAGTTGTTATTAGACAATAATCATCAACTTGTTTCTACTTCAGTGAAGGTTTCAAATTCACAGAAATTTAGAGACATGCTGTTTCCATAGCAGCAGATAAAGAGTAAAACTAAAAAGATTTTATTGATTTTTAACAAGGCTTAGAGAACTTGTTCTCCTTTTCAGCAGTGATCTTTCTTTTTTTTAGTGTTTAGCAACATCTGGTATTCTTTTCTCTAAACGTATTTAGTAAATCATATAAATTTTGAGAGTAGGATAATTGTGACATTACTATAAAATTACATATGCTTATAGTAATGTAGAATCACCAAAATTTAACTTAATGTAAAAGAGAAGCTAAACTATGAAGTTAAGATCAGGCATCAAAGATTCTAACTACATGTAAAGTCAGTTTAACATATAAATAAAATATAACATTGTGTTACCAATGCTTTTAGATAATTCATTAATGATTTAAAAATATGGGATAATATTGCTGTTACTGTTAATTTATTAAGAATCAGACTTTTAAACATAAATGTTACAGCTAAAAATGCAAATCTTTTCATGGTTAATATGGCAGTCTGATGTGGATACAACTGAAATTAGTCATATGGTTGTTCCATGCTAACACGCTAAGAAAACAGCAAATAGACTTTCTTCTTTTGTGAATATGCTGTTTAAGTTGTATGTTTTCCACCAATTAGTCTCCTCTCTTAACATTTCTGTTTGTGAAAACACAGAAAAATGGCTTACCTGTAACAGACATACAGCTTAATGGAGCGATGAGAGTAATGGGGGCAAATCCATAGGCTGCAAAGTTTCCAGTCTCTCCTACAGCCATCAGTAGGATCCCACCCCACCACAACACACTCCTGAAGAATGGCCTCTGGTGCTCTTGGTGGACGAGACGCAGATGAGAATATTTCTGGAAGTAAATGAGAATATAAATAAGGAAACATTTCCACCCAATTAAAACTTGCCTTGAAATTTTGGGGTCCTACATCATGGCCTTTAAATTTATTTGCAGATTATTACACAGCAATTATTATGGTTTTCTGTTTGTTCCAAACTTAACAGCAGAAGTGACTCACACTGATATTTTATAGTATACAGTACAGTATAAACCAGCATTTTATAGTTTAAAGGGCCTTCTCACATATGAATGTTGCTTGATTCTCATAACAACTCTGTAAAATAAGTATCATTATTTCTGTCTAAAGATGAGGTGTATGTTAAGGGGTTGAGTGACTTTTCAGTTCACTATGTAAAAACACTTCTTTCACAATGTCAAAAAAGTCCAGATGCCAAAATAAATATTCATGAAATAAAGATAATAAATTGCTAAGGAAAAACCTTTTGAGAAGGGATTCAAGTGTATGAGTCAAATGGCTACCACAATAAATACAGCAGGGCAGAATGCAGAGGCTTTGGGGTGGGAGGATTCTTCCTTATATCTGGGTTGAGTATTTCTTTGTATTTGAAACAGAATTTCTGAAAAGTGGCCATTATTAAGTAAAGCCCCATCTCCCAACTGATTTTATGATAACTGAACTTATTTCCTTATAAGAAGTACGTACAATTCTAGATTACCTTAAAAAAAATTGTAAAGAAAATAATAAAAGTACTAGAAGAAACCAAAATATTAACAAAAAGACTTGGCTTATGCCAGGATTATGAACATCTTTCTAAGTATGGTACAATTTCATATGTCATCTAAGCACCTTGCCTAGGGTATACAATACCACAAAAACATTTAATTTCTTTTAAAATGAGAAGAAGAAAAAAATGAATGTAATCCAGCCTGGATTATATTTGTCTTTATATCAATGAAGTTATAAAATAGAATTTTTTATGGAGGAAGGAGCACAAGAAGGCAAAAGTGTTTGAGGTCCATTAAAGTTGTAATATGTCCCTGGCTCAGATTAGAGTCAGAAAAATAAGCTTCTTCTTACCTGAATATTTAGGGAAATGCTGATTACCAAGTTTCCTAAAATGGCCAGCAAAACTCCAAAAAGGTGAATCTATAAAATAAAATCTTATCTTTAAATGGTCCTTTAAATAGCACTTGAAATTTATTGGGGAAAAAAACAGCCAAAAAATTTAAGTTAATACATTCATTCATTTGGCAAATACTTACTTAGCACCAGGGTCATTTTGAATATGACTTTCGGAATTAAGATTAGTTTTTCACTTTAGTGAAATATTATTTTTTAGAACTAGTCCCTGTACTGAATTCTCTAGATATTTACCTATTTGCTAAAATAAAGAAAATAGTTATTAGTTTCTGACTTTTCCCCATTAAGACATTTCTTATTTATTTTTTCTATCATTTTCCTCAGCAAAACCTTTAACTGGGGTGTTCAATGCCTCAAGTATAGACTATATAATTTTTTTCCATGTGTTGTCCTTCTTTCCTTTCTCTTAATATACTTTGGAGGGCTGTGGTTTGAAAGAAAGATCATTGGCCTTGGAGTTGAAGGATGAATCTGAGATTCAGATCTACTATTTCCTAATGGGTGACCTTGAACAAGTTATTTCAGTTCCCTGGCCTCAGTAGGCAAGGGCATGTTAGATACGGTATTTCTGGAAATTCCTTTACTTCAAACTTCTATATCTCCATTGGAGACAGACTAGATTTTCCCACCATCCCATGGTCAAGAACCCACTATCTCTCTCTGCAGTCAACTACATCAAATACGAAACTCCCCCTAATCTGTCCTCATCCTGACCATCCAGTTGTCCATGGCACACTTACTGTACTTCCCATACCTGGCACAGGACATTCTCCAGCCAGATGCCATACTTCGCTCACGCCATTCCTCTCATCAAGGCATAGCCGCTCCTTTCCTCAGCCCATTCCAATGATACCTCACTCTCCTGGCCTGTTGAGTCCACCTCCTTGAGGCTTCTCAGACCACCGTAGCCTCTCTCTACTTTCTCAGACTCTAAATGGCGAACATCCCTTATTTCTTCTCTTATATTGTCATATGTATTATCAAGCTATAAATAGATGGCAAATTCTCTGAGGGAAGAGAGCCATGTCTTAGGCTTCTATTGGGTCTTCTACATAGCTACTATGCAAAATTAAGGGTTTGAAAAATATTTGCTTGAAAAAATACATAATGGCTTAAAGTAAGAACTACTGAGGTTAAAAAATATGTCTTTACACATTGCCCAAGATGTTTACTATAGATAGCGCATGCATTATTTGATGACTTCAAAAGATGCACTTGGTGTTTCTATCTAGGTACAAAGGTGTAACAGCTTCTAGCAGTAAAAAATTAGCAATGATATAAGGGATCTTTCCCTCTCTTCCTCCACAGTACACGAACTTCTAGCTAGCTTCAAATTCCAAGGAGTTATTTGAATTTCAAATGAACGTTACAACCACAAGGAACCCATTCCAGAATGCAAAATGTCTTTGAAGTTTCAGAACTTTATTTTATGAGCTGAAGTGAAATTCAGTATTTTTTAAAAATGAAGCAGAAAAGTTGAAAACCCATTTAAGTTGATACATAATATCCATAGTCTTTAATCAGTTAAGAATTTTCTTTTCCTAATAAAGGCACTTGGCAGTAATTTTGATCACTCTTCCTCATGAGGAACAATTGTATCATAATACAATGTGTTATTTCCATGCCTTCAATTTACAATCGAGAGCATTTGCAAGTAATCAGGAAAATAAAGATTCAGAAGAACTTTGGGATTGAATGGATAATTATGGAGATATTCCATAATTGTAAAAGTACATTGTTGAATAGAAATAAGTTACTTCAAAATTCCTTAAATCATTTGCTGAGTAGTTTAAATTCCACCAGGCTGAGTGTTTAGAAATTGGTAAGTAGGATTTGGAAATGATTTATTGGATATGACACCAAAGCACAGGCAACCAAAGAAAAAAATAGAAAAACTGTACTTCATCAAGATCAAAATCTCTTGTGCATCAAAGGATACTCCTAACAGAGTAAAAAGGCTACCCACACAATGGGACAAAATATTTGCAAATCATAGATCTGATGAAGATTGATATCCAGAATATATAAAGAACTCCTACAACTCGACAACAACAAAATAAACCCAATTCAAAGAATGGGCCAAGGACTTAAAAAGACATTTCTCCAATGGTCAATAGGCATATGAAAAGATACTCAACAGCACTAATCTTTGGGGAAATGCAAAGCAACACCACAATGAGCTACCACTTCACACCCATTAGATTACTGGCTATAATTAAAATTACAGAAAACAACAAGTGTTGGTAAAGATGTGGAAGAAATTGGAACGCTTATGCATTGCTGGTAAGGATATAAAATGGCACAGCTGCTGACCTCACATGACAACTCAAAATCAAAGACCTAAATTTAAGAGCCAAACTAAGTTCTCAGAAGAAAACATAGGGGTAAATCTTTGAGATCTTGGATTTGGCCATGGATTCTTACAGATAAAACACCAAAAGCATAAGCAACAAAAGAAAAAAAGCTTCACTCATCAATATAAAAACTTTTGAGTTTCAAAGGACACTATCAAGAAAGTGAAAAAGACAACCATAAAATGGGAGAAAAGATTTGGAAATCATTTATCTGATAAGGGACTTGTATCTAGGATATATAGAGATCACCTATAACTCAGTAATAAAAAGACAAAAAACCCAATTAATAATGGGCAAAGAATTTGAATAGATATTTCTCCAAAGAAGACAAAAGGTTAATAAGCACATGAAGACATATTCAACATCATTAGTCATCAGGGAATGCAAATCAAAACCACAGTGAGATCCTACTTCACACCATATGGCTATAATCAAAAATTCAGATAATAACAAATGTTAGCAAGGATGTAGGTAAATCAGAACCTTTATATACTGCTGATGGAAATATAAAGTGGTGCAATCACTTTGGAAAACAACCTGGCAGTTCTGCAAAAAGTTAAGCATGGGATTTCCATTTGACTCAGCAATTTCACTCCTAGGTATACATCCAAGACAGATGAAAATCTAGTCCACACAAAAGCTTGTAAACAAGTGTCTATCGCAGTATTATTCGTAATATCCAAAAGTAGAAATGACTCAAATGTCCATCAAGTAATGAATAAATGAAATGTAGTATATTCATACAAAGGAATATTACTCAGCAATAAAATGGAGTGAAGCACTGATATGCTATAACCTAGATGAGCCTTGAAAAGTTTATGTTGAGTAAAAGAATTTAGTCCCAAAAGACAATATATCATATGATTCCATTTATATGAAAGGTCCAGAATAGGCAAATCTATAGAGACAGAAAGCATATTAGTAGCTGTTTAGGGCTAGGAAGAAGGAGAGGTTTGGGATTGGGGTCTTCTTTTGGAGGTGATGAAAATGTTCTAAAATTGATTGTGGTGATAGTTGTCTAACTGTGAATAAAATAAAAACCAGTGAACTGTACACTTTAAGTAAGTGAACTAATTGGCATGTACATTATATTTCAATGAAACTGTTAAAAAAATTTTAAACACAAAGCATTTACATGTGGTAAATGTGCTTTAATGACTACAAAAATCCTCATCTGCAATCAAAAGTATCATTGCATACAGTAAGCAGGCCCTTATAAACTTGCCATTTAAATTAAAGATGTCTTGTTTACATCACTACTTCATTCAGAGTGTTCTCTGCTTTCTAGCATTTTAGAATTAGTGGAAGTTTAGAGCACCTCTTCTCTCCCCACCCTTTTTTGCTGCCCTCTCTGCTGATGTGGAGACTGTCAGGAAAAAGAACAGAGGGCAGAGAAGGAAAATGACTTGTACAGCGTCACACAACTACATTTTAGCACATTTTGTACACATTTTGGCACACAGCTACAAACAGGCACATTTTGGCCCCAAGGCACCCAGCTCATGTCCGAATCACTATTTCTTCTTAGGCTGCAATAGGTAGCCTTTTGGCTAGTCAATGTCAATTTACCACAATTTTAAAATGAGCAGAATCTGTTTCTTCTTCTCAGTGCAAATAAAATAAAGATAATAATTACGAGGAAAGTTGATCCACAGCTTAATAATGCAGTTAAAAGTACAGGCCAGAACATAAAAAGATGCCCTTAATTTTTGTAATGCTCAGTCTTGTCACCTCCATAGCTTAATTTCTGGCTTTTCCAGGATGTATTGGCAAATAGATTGTGGAGGCACCACAAACAATTTATCTAGAATAAGGCTCAAAGTATCAGCACTTATAAGTACTAAGGATGTTTTTGTTATATTTGGAATAACAATCTTTGAATCCTACTTTTTGTGCCAGAATGGTCTTTAGATATTTCTCATAAAGTTACTGACCTATAATCCATGGGTGGGGCTCTTTGGCCAGATGAAGATGGGATACGGTAACAGGAGTGTGTGGAATTGGTAATAATCTGTTGTAGTCTGGCTTTAAACTCAAACATATTCCTGGCTCTTCCTTCAAACATAAATTCAGAATCAGACCCCAGTGGAGCTAGTACATAGTTCAAAAGAACCAAGGATTCAGAGCTAGTTTTGAACTGTAATAGTCACATTCAACTCAAAATCAGAATAATACTATCTCATTTTCTAGGCATAAAATAGGCCTGAACATGGAAATGTGAGATTTGGTTTCTAGTATCAGAAATGCCACCGATTGAGTAATTAAGGTCAACTAATCACTGCAGGAATGACCTCAAGAGCCTGGATATGCAAGGAGATCATATGTCTGATGAGCAACAGGCAATCAGGTCACTCCATCCCACAGGAAACTCTTAGGACTGAACAGGGGTTGTTTTGCATTTGCCCCTAGTAAACAGGTAGACATATATCTCACCTTCTGAACATTAAGAAGGAACAGGAAGACTTCCCAGTTCTTAGTGATACAATCTTAAATATTGAGGGGTGAAGACTCCTAATTTGTGCAATCTATTTTCAAAGGTATATTACAAGGTAAAATAAAAAGCAGAGAGTAAGAGAGAGAGAACAAATGTTTCACAATGTTAACAATCACTGAATCTCCAGGTGAAGGACATACGGTGTTTATTATACTAGG